GTTTATGCAGCTCTTGTTTAGCTGGGTGCTTGGCACGTGTTCTCTCTTTGATTAAGTCACATTGACTTACTGGGTTGGATAATGACTGGTCTGGTTGTCAATTATGTACTTTATTCGCGACTTACATTCGCCGGCTTGCTGCCGTGGATCGAGAGAGAGCGATAGCGACTCTACTACTGAGCGAGCTATATTCGCACTACTCGCATCGCGCTTGCGCGCCTCTTACGGCTAACGACGGACACAAAATTATGGCAGTATACAAAAAGAAAGAAAATCATGGCTTTAGGCTACGGCCTAAACATACCGCGCGCCTTGATGTGATTAAGCTCATCAATAAACAATACAATAAATGAAATAAAAACGTATTTAACATGCCTTTCCCTGAGTGGCTTAACTAATAAACATAGATACACTTCTTATTAAAGCCTTATATATTATATGTTTTCTTCAATCGGTAATACGCAAATCTTATTTGCCGGACGCTTAAAAGTTCCTTTAACGGTCTTGACACTTGCTGCTCTGACAACTCCATCCGTGCCTGGGTGTACAGCTTCGATGCGACCTATGAGCCACGATTGAGGTGGCAGATCGCCTTCCCGAACAATCACCATCTGACCTGGTTCAATGGCCTTCCCCTTACTCTCCTTCCATTTCGTCCGCTGCTGCATCTGATGTAAGTAGTCAACCGACCATCTTTTCCAGAAATGCTGCCGCATTTGTTCGACGCGCTGCCATCTAGATAATCGGTTCTCCGGTAGTTCCTGCAAACAAGGTTCCGGATAGGAAATGAGGGAATCCCCAATCAAGAAATGGCCCGGAGTTATGTAGGATTGGTCTTCAGGATCAGTGGACAATGGGGTCAAGGGTCTCGAGTTTAGTATTGCTTCAATCTGTGTCAGCAAGGTAGCTGTCTCTTCAAATGTTAACGCTCCGCTCGATGTTACTCTATTGAGATGAAGTTTTGCTGAGCGTACCGCTGCCTCCCACAGACCGCCGAAGTGCGGTGCCTTGGGAGGTATGAAATGCCAAGTAATAGCTTCTTCCGCCATCTTGTTCACGATGCTGTGCCTAAATTCCTCACGATTGAAAAGATCGCGTAGCTCTTCCAACTCACGGTTCGCTCCCACGAAATTGGTGCCGTTGTCGGAGAACATGTTCGACGGCTTGCCGCGCCGCCCAATAAATCGTTTTAATGCGTTCAAGAATCCTTCGGTGCTTAACGTGGTCACCAGTTCAATATGTACAGCCTTGGTGACCAGACATACGAAGATTGCAATCCAGGCCTTGGACCTCCGGGCGTTGCGACGGTTTCCTTCTCGTATAAAGATCGGTCCGCAATAGTCCACCCCCGAGTTGTCAAATGGTCGTGACGGTTTGACTCGGAATGACGGAAGGTCACCCATGACCTGCTGCGATGCACGAGGCCCAGCCTTGAAGCAGGGGACGCATTTATGCACGATCGTACGGATGATTCCTCTAGCGCCTAATATCCAATACTGTAATCTTAATGCTCCCAATGTAGCCTGTGGACCAGCGTGCAGCAGTCTCGCGTGCTTATGCTCAATGACAAACTGAGTGAACCGATTGTGAGACGGTAGAATTAATTGATGCTTGGTCTCATATGATAAAGCTGAATGCCTCAAGCGACCGCCTACCCTCAACAAGTCCTCTTGATCCAGGAACGGGTTCAGTCCCAGCAACCGACTGCCTCTTGGTAAATCTGCTTGATTCTTGATAGCCTCTATTTCATTGTGAAATGCTGCTTGTTGAATCCTCCTGACGATAACCTTGCGTGCCTCTTCCAGTTCCAGAGCCGCAATAGGACCGGATCTTCTTTTACTTGGCTCCGTCCGTACATTATATATGAATCGTAGACATCTGGCAATTGTGCGCACGAGCTTGATATAGGATGAGAATCCTTCAATTAGGTCACATTCTTGGATAGTGACATTCGATATTGTTATCTTTCGGCGTTCAAGTAATTCTTCAGGGTTGACATCAGGTGGTGTACTCCCCGGCCACAGCGATTTGTCTTTGTTTATCCAAGATGGACCGTTCCACCAAAGTGTCGCCCCACTGAAAGTCTCCGGATCGGTACCGCGAGATAGAATGTCCGCAGGGTTTTCATTTGTGCTCACGTGACGCCAACTCGCTATTTGTGTGAGCTCTTGAATTTCGCCAATTCTGTTGGCGACGAAGGTGTTGAACACGCGGCTTGGTGATCGGATCCAATCCAAGACAATGGTGGCATCCGTCCAATAATATGTCTCGTGCACCTTCAGATCTAAAATTGGAAGTATCTTGTCAATTAACTGTGATAATAGCTGAGCGCCGCATAACTCCAGCCTGGGTAAGGATATCGATTTCATGGGCGCCACTCTGGACCTTGAACATAATAAACGTGTGTGATGCGATCCATCCTGACCGGTGACCCTCAAGTACACGCAGGCCCCGTATGCCTGCTGGCTTGCGTCACAAAAACCGTGCAGCTCGACGCGCGTGATGATTTGAGCGCCCAACACCATGCGCGCTATTCGTAATTCGTTGAGCCGTTTTAGTTGAGATTTGTAGGCGACCCATTCCGTATATACATCCGCGGGCAAAGATTCGTCCCAGTCCACTTGCAGTATCCACAGGCGTTGCATGAAGAGTTTTGCCCGCACGATGACCGGTCCTAGCAATCCCAGCGGATCAAAAATCCGCGCAATACACGATAGTATTGCTCTCTTGGTTGAGCGTTGAGTGTTGTCCACGTCTGCCATCACACTGTATTGAAACGCGTCCTCGGTTGGGTTCCATTGAATCCCCAGAGTCCTGAAACCACCTTCCTTGTCTAATGGTCGTATGGAACTTGCCGCTGATGGTTCAGGAATGCCTTTTAGCAGCCCCGCTTCGTTTGAAGCCCACTTATGAAGCACAAATCCTCCCTTCTTGAGCAATTTCGTGGTTTCGTCCCTGATTTGCAAGGCCTCTTCGATGGAGTTGGCTCCCGTGATAAGGTCGTCCACGTAAAAATCCCGCAGAACGGTTTGCGATCCGATGGAAAAATGCCTTGCCTCCGTTTCAGCGAGCGTTCGAACAGCCTTGATTGCGAGAAATGAGGCGGACGCCGTGCCGTAAGTGAGCGTTGTCAATTCGAATTCCTTCATCTTCTCGTGTGGTTCGTCACGCCAGACGATCCTCTGCAATGGGGTCTGCGCTTCGTCGACAAGTATTTGCCTATACATCTTGGTAATGTCGGCAATCAGAGCATATTTGAACGTCCGAAATCTCACCATTATGGAAAATAATTCCTGTTGAAGTACTGGACCTACCATCAGGGCGTCGTTGAGGGATAGGCCTGACGTGGTTTTGCAAGACGCGTCGAATACCACCCTAATCTTGGTTGTAGAATTTTCCTCCTTGACCACGCAGTGATGAGGCAGATAATAATGAGGCATCTGGGTTAAATCCACATCTTGCAGCTCTCTCATATGCCCCAGCGACTCGTACTCGTGCATGAATTTGGTATATTCTTTCTTCAGTGGTGCATCACGATTGAGCCTTCTCTCCAACTGCTTGAACCGGCGTACTGCGATGTCTCTTGATAGTCCGAGACGACTGACTTCTTCCAGTTTGAGGGGAAGCTTGACGATGAATCTTCCCGATGAATTTCGTTGCACCGTTGACTCGAACATTTCCTCACATTTGCGTTCATCGAGCGACATCTTATTCTTCCGCGCGCCATGCTCGACTTCCCAAAACGATCTCATCAGTTGACTTAATTCGTCCGTTGTACTGTGGTTGCACGTAATTGATTGTGGATTTGAAGCTCTGGCGACTGCTCTGCCTGCGGCGATCCATCCAAAGTGTGTCTTCTGCCAACACGGTTGTGTTTCAGTAGCCTTTATTTGGCCTACGCACATGATATTCCAGAAAATTTCTACTCCTATAATCATGTCGATTCTAGAAGATTCTAGAAACTCTGGATCTGCTAAGGTGATTCCTTCTGGAACCCGAATGTCAGCCTTGTGAATGGACACCGTGGGAAGATCCTGTGTAATTTTCCGCAGCACGAAACAATTGAGTTCCGCCTTGTACCCATTAAATCGCGACTTTAATTTTATCTTGGCCATACTGTGCGTTTCGGATCTCGCACCTCCAACGCCATTGATGGGGATGCAGGTGGGAACCTGTTTAACCCCAAGCCTCTTCACTAGCTCCGTGCTTACGAAGTTCGACTGCGATCCGTTGTCAAGCAGCGCTCGACATGGCTGCATATTTCCCTTCTGATCTTGAACGTGGACTACTGCCGTGGACAGCAAAACGTGATGACCTGCCGCTCTAGTGGCATGATATGTGCTGGTGGTTGACGATGCAGCGCTAGTGCCCGTCTTCTCAGAGCTCACTTCCGTATCCGTAGGTTGCAAGCTTGACTCCATATGAAGCAACGTATTGTGCCTCTTATTGCATTTTTTGCACAAACCCGCGTTGCATTGCTTTGCTCGATGATCGCTATGTTTCAAACAATTAAGGCAAAGCTTGAGACCCTTTATTTCCTGAATGCGTTTGTCAACTGAAAGCTCGAGAAACTTATTACGCCGGAAAATGGGATGATCGCCTTTACAATGACCGCATGCCTGCCTGTCTGTTACTGCATTCGCTGACATAGATTTCTTTGAATCGCCCTTATCAATCTTCCTTGATGATGCTATGCCTTGGGGTTTTCTGTCTATCGCCTCCAATGCTCGACATCGATGCGACAGAAAGTCAGTCAAATCCTTGAGTGTCGGTATGCTCGAATCCTTGAGGCTGGTCTCCCATTCCTTGTTAGTGGCCGGCGCTAATTTGCTGGTAATAATATGAACGACAAGGTCGTCCCAGTGATCCGTGGACCTTTCTAGCACCTTGAGAGCTCGTAGATGTTTTAAAACCGTATCTAATAACTGTCGAAGTTCAATGTGATTTTCTTTATATAATACTGGATATTCAAAAATGGCCTTAATATGCTTTTGTACGATTACGCGCTGATTGTCGTATCGCTCGTCCAGCATTTCCAATGCTTCCTGGTAATTTGCGTCTGATAACTCTAACGAACTAATGACATCCGCGGCCTCGTTCTTGAGAGATGCTTTTAGGTAATGCATTTTTTGAATTGCTGGTAATGCAGTGTTTTCGTGTATCATTGAATAGAATACATCGCGAAAGGGACGCCAATCCTCATACGAACCAGAAAACATCGGCAAATCTATTCGCGGTAATCGCATGTTTATGTTCGGCGGCTGAATGTTATCACGATTGCTGCGTCGCGCGAGTGCGTCAAACGGATTTGGGCCTTCACGCACTGCACTTATGCTTAATATCTTTTCTTCGAGTTTAGCTGCAACCGCGAAATACTTGTCTTCGAATGCTCGACGCTCGACCTCGTGAGCCTTTACCTGTTCGCTTGACGTTTCGATGAGTTCTATCTGTGACTGCGCCTCATTAAATGCCTGCCAGCATTCTGGAAATTTTGCTTGCCTTTGTCGTAATTCAGCTACTGAAACCTGCCTTGCTTCCAGCTCGTCTACGAAGGTCTTTCCACGAGTGCATGCTGATTTTGCTTGCGTTCTTTTCGCCTTTGCCACGCCATAGGCTTTATCGTCCTCTGCCATTTTGAAGCTGCAATGTATATAGTGAAATTATGTACTGTATCACCTGCTTTGCCGTTGCCGTGCCGGTGCTTTCTTCCGTGTCGTGTCTCGTATAATCCTCCTGCTGCGCCGTAATTTGTAACGCCGCCCAAGATGATTGGATACGATGTGTTGCGTTGGGGTGCTTCCCGATCGGAACAATTGCAATTTTGAATGCGCCCGTGCTAAATGCGAGTCTTTTCCTGTCTTTCCTCGCACGCACTAGTCGCCTAACCTCGTTGTCGCGAGCAACGCTCGCGATCCGGCTCGAAGGACCAATGTTTATGCAGCTCTTGTTTAGCTGGGTGCTTGGCACGTGTTCTCTCTTTGATTAAGTCACATTGACTTACTGGGTTGGATAATGACTGGTCTGGTTGTCAATTATGTACTTTATTCGCGACTTACATTCGCCGGCTTGCTGCCGTGGATCGAGAGAGAGCGATAGCGACTCTACTACTGAGCGAGCTATATTCGCACTACTCGCATCGCGCTTGCGCGCCTCTTACGGCTAACGACGGACACAAAATTATGGCAGTATACAAAAAGAAAGAAAATCATGGCTTTAGGCTACGGCCTAAACAAAGTTATAAAAGATTTTGCAGGAGCATCACAAATAAAACCTTTAATTGTAAATGGTAAAACTCGCCCTTGAAGTACAAAACCATCATTTACTAGTACAATAACTTCTTTTACAAATTCTGAGAGATATTCATTAACGTTAGTAGGTTTTCCGTACCCATGGTAAATACCAATTACAGCTATGTTATTAGGATATTTAAATAAGGAACATAAAATTGGATATATCTGACTACTAGAACTTTTACTAAGCGGTAACCCATCTATATTAACTAGTAAATCAATTGATAATAAGGTAGAAATGTCTACCTTAGAAATTAATTGTTCCACTGCAAACTTTAAGCCAAAATGCACATAAATTCCTGGCTCTATATTTTTGAAAAATGTTTTCCGAGGCGTTGTAAGTAAAGTTCTAGGGTCACTTGGTAAATTTGAATGAACAGGTATTGATTTTAGTAATTTTAATAATTTTCTTAATGACTCGTGAGGCACATTGCATGTAATCGCCCATTGACGTAAACCATGAAAAAAATTATTTTCTACAATGTTGTTCTGTAAATTAACATCACAGTTAGAAACAATCGAAGGATGGCTATCTAAATTCTTG